CACACACACACACACACACACACACACCCTGCTTCTCCTCATCGCGTCAGTCTTTTTGATTGTCATGTTTTTATTTGAACTGACTTCACAGCTCGTGGTCCTGAATAAGCCGATCGGGTTTCATGACCCGTGGGGCCGTCGGACCCGTTCAAAACTCAGGATGTGTTTTTTGTTTTTTTTTCTCTTTCTCTCTCTTCGTCCAGTAAAAGTGATATTTAGAAGGTTTCTGAGCAGACAAAAAAGCAAACTTCCCCCTCTGCTGTCTGTCACGGCTCCTGTGTGCCCTTCAGCCACCATTGAAGCAGCTCCCTGGCGTCCTGCCCCGACTGAAGACCGCTGCCCACCCCCACGGTTCCCAGGAAAACTGGGGGCTTGGGCACGGGGCTGGAGGGCAGATGTAGGGGCGGCGGTGACTTTGGGCCATGCATCCGGTTTTGGCCGGAGCGTTGAAAGGACCCACATGACAGCTTGCTGAGCGGCAAACAGATGTTGTGCTGCTCTGGTGTCGGCGGAGCTGCACCGAAAGGTTGAATGACCTCCACTGGTTTTTAGAAGGTTGTCATAATGAGAACCGCTCCCTCTTATGTGTCCCGCATTTTAAAAAAATAGAATACAATAGCTGTAAACATGCCCATTATGCAGACTTTAATGTCAGCTGATAACCAGCCAGCATACCATTTTTGCATTTTTGAAGCTAAAGCAAAATCTGATTCCCACTAAGTGTTTTTTCTGCATAATAACACCAATTAAGGTGCATTAGTAATCTCAACATGCTTCCTTAAGTGCCTATAATGGCTTCATCATTTTGTGCTAACAAAGGTCTTATTCCCAGGAGTGTAGCTAAGACGTATGAGGCCCCCGAAAGATGGCTGCCTCAGGGCTAGGCCCCTGCCTTTATTTAGCCAAATATATTTATTTTAATGAGGGCCCTTTCCTTCAATTGTCACAACCCTCTGCCTGGCTGTTCACAGGGATTCTCATCTTTCTTCATGCTGACTAGTGGACAGGTTCCGTATTTATTTCATTTATTGTCATATCTGTTAATAAAAGAAATGGATGTAGTTTAAATATTGGATGTGTGGAGCCTATAAGTGTCTGTATGTGCAGTTGTAACAGAAATACTTTACTGATTTTGTTTGCGCTGTTTCTGTGAACAAACTACTGATGACATCGCTAATCGTCTTAACGACTAAATTATATACAAATACTGCAGAGGTGTGCATGAGCTTCTGCTGGATGGGAACCTGTGACTATAGATAGAAGAGGGAACCCGTAGGTTTCCTGTAGAGCGGTTTTGAAGCCTTTACCTGACCTCACCTGACCTTCGGCTTGTCCGGAGCTGTCTAGACTTAGACTTAGACTGACTTTATTAATCCCAGAGGGACATTCAGGTGTTACAGCAGCATGACTATTCAACAAAGGGGTAAACAATCTACCCACTAACCTACCATTAGAGACCAACAGTAATGCTTTTAACAAAGGACTCAAACAACGGCTAACTTCAAACAGCAGTGCTCACACGAGTAGTTTTAACTGGTTGATTGCTGGACCACGCTGCCTTTGCTTTGTAGCTTACGTATGGATTTAATCTGATCAGCTGCCTCTCTTTTACTGTTGTAATGTTATTGTACACTGTGTTTTTTTCTTCTCCTATTACTTTTACTATTTCTATCATTTCAAAAGCCTCCTGTGGACACGTGTTAGCACATGTGCTAAAACACTCTCCATCCAGTTTGTACAGTGTAATCGTGATGTCCAATAAATAATCAAAAATAATAAAAATCAGCAGAGGAAGAGCCTGAGTGGAGCTGAGGTGGACCATGCAGATGTCTCCCTATGGACTGTCCTATGGCGGCACTCACCTGTAGCAGGTGCATAACTGGCAGCCTTTATACAGTTTAAATGGGTGAGTTTCAGAGAAATCCCCCCATACAGCGGTCATGAATGGGAACTGAGCTGCAGAAGCCAAAACATTTTATCGTACCGGGCTGTAAACCCGTGATGTCGGGTGTTTCTGGTGCTGACCCACTCTTGGAGCCTTTGGGCATTTGAGGAACTCATGTCTTAAATCTTCTCATCTTTAGTGCATGAATTCTCAGCCAGACATTAAATGGCCAACAATTGGTCCCGTGCGACTCTTACCCGTCGTTGAGTCGGACCAGGATAGCCCGGTAGAGCTGGTGCTGCGGGCTGTTGGACTCTGGACCACAGGGGTGGATGAACGGGTGAACGGATGCCAGAACGAAGCCCTGCTGGTACAGCTCGTGCAGCTGACCCGGCAGCTCTCGCACCGACGACAGACGCAGCGTGGACGTCCCACCTGAGGGAAACCGAGAGAGGAGAAGGTCTGTGAGACAAAGCAGAGCATAGCAGAGGACACACTGGCAGCAAAGTAGGCTGGTTTGAAAACAAAAGCTGGGGATGTGTCATGAGTTTGGCCAGTCGAGCAGAAATCACACTTTTGTCAACAAGCATCTAACGTTTATTTGTAATGACTGCCTCCAAACTCGTATTGTAGTAGCAGAAGCAGATCATGGTGCTAATTGCTAAGAAAAGAGTGATTACGAATGCTTGCGAACGCTGCAGAAATTCATACAAAGTTACTCAGAGAGATGGTCATGCCTCCACATCTCCAGAGTTCTCCACTATAGATTCTGCACATTCTGCACAATCTGCAATATTAATGTTGACATCAGTCATCAAGGATCATCAGATAAAATCTCAATGATGTGTGTTTTTAGGGCAGTGCTGCTGTATTGACAAGTACTATGAAGTAAAAGGGATTAAATAAAAATAATAAGGCAAACTATTTATTCTGGTATATCCCAGGAACGAAAACAACAAGATTTGGTGTAAGACGTTTCAAGGAGAGATGTGTAAACTTCTCAGAGTTATTTGGAGGTCTGCAGGTCTGTTGATGTGAGAGTTTTATTTGGTGTTTTCTTTGGGACACACTTTGCTGTTTGGAGAGGATGGAGCTGTCTCTGATTAAACCCTCACAGTGTCACCGGGTTGTTTAACAGACTCATCAGGTCTGTTTGGATTTGTATTCATGAAATTTGAGTTTCCTGTGTTCTTCGTCTGTCAGCCGCGCTGGAGGTCACTGCCCATGTTCACAATTCTTCTGTTTACTCTAAACAAATTACTGAGTCTCCAAAGTCATCACCGCTGTTACAACACAGAGTTTTTCTCAGGAAGAAAAAACATAAAATTTGGTTTAGAAACACAACATTGAACCTAATTTCCTGTAGCATGTAGTAATTTCATTTACTTATTTATTTTTTCAATTACTTCAGTGAACGCTCCTGCACATAAACGTAAGCTACGGTCTGGAATGTGTAAACCCAGTTTGAAAATCTGATTTGCTTCTGTGGTCCCCATCACCTGATGAGAGCAGCACACCTCAGGCACTCATTTGTTTTTAGTTCTAAACTAAGCAATGTTTAAGTGAATCATTTCTATCTGTCGCCAGCAAGCTCGTGCACATTTCCTGCTGCAGTGAGCGACCATCATCGCTGCTGTTCCCTCTCCTGTAGCCTCTCAGCGGCCCAGGCCCAGACTCACAGGAGCTTAAAGGGTTCAGAGCCGTCCCACTGTCAAATCATCAAGCATAGGAGAGCTCTGATGGGACCTCTGACACTATTGTGCACCCTGCATGTCTGTAGACTGTCCTGAGGGACATAGTTTCTTGCCTTGCCCTCTATAAAATGTACACAAACCAATCATGTTGCAGAGGAGAACTGTGCCAGGACGTGTTTGTCAGTGACGGCTTCTGGCCCGCTGGCTGTCGTGGGTATTTATTGTACGTTGGTGCCGGTGTTTGTGTCTTCAGTCAAACCCATGTGGGATTTACAGATGTTCATGGGTGGCCTGATTTTTGGACGGGGACAGAAGTCTAGATGAATGAAGACACATAAGAGGAACTGTAGCTAAGGCCATACGCTAATGAAGTGAAACCTAGAACAAAACTTTGAATTATCCGTTAAATAGAAAATGACAGAACACTACAAAACTGTTTTTTTCCGTATATGACACACCTGCCACTTTACTTGACATTGCACACACTGCTGATTATTGTCTATTTATTGTTTATGTTTATAGTCAGAATTACGTTCTGTTTATTGTCTATATTCTGTTTTTCTTTGTTTTTGCACCGTGGGGTCTCAGAGTATAGCAGCATCAGCTCTCTGTGTGTTCTACATTTGGCAAAACTGACAACAAAGCTGACCTGACATGAAATGAAGCCTGTTATTACACATAGTTTGTAAATTCTTTACTTTATAAGAAATAACCAGAAGGACACAGTGCATTTAGGCTCCCTGCTGTCCACTGTGCAAACCAAGAGCCTGATGTTGTTACGACGTTAAAATAAGATCTGGAGTTTGATCTCTGAAGCGCCTTCTTGGTGTTACTAGATGCACAGTAAAAAGTCCTGTAGTGGCGGCTGTCAAATAGCAGTGAGGCTTTCTTTCTGTTTTTGAATGGAGATGTGTTGTGTCTAAGCAACATCCATCCATCCATCCATCCATCATCTCTACACCTTAATCCTCACCAGGGTCATGGGGAGCTGGAGTCTATCCCAGCTGACTCAGGGTGAAGGCAGGTTCACCTGGACAGGTAACCAGTCTATCCCGTTCTCTACTTTTTTTTATTGTTTTATTATTATCGTCTCTCTGCTCTTTTGTTCTTGTCATGTGACTTCTGGTCACAGTTGAGTCAGTAAAGACATTGACAAGCACAGGATTTGTAGTTTTTGGTGACTGCAAATGTTTTATTTTAGTGAGTTTTTAAGCGATGGGTGTAAAAAAGGGTTGTTTAATGACACATGATGACTTTAAGCTTAGACTTGGTTAGTTTCCCACCTCCACTACACGTGACTGATGGGAGGATGACATTCTTTCTGTTTCCACTGCTGCTGGCTGTGATAAATGCTGTAATTTTGGCCATTTTGTTTTTTAAATTACACGCCTTTTAAACGTGCTGGTGGGTTTTGGGGGTTCAGAGTGTAAGTCCTATTCTTCCTGTTGTACATGAACTATGACGTGCACTAAATTAAAGCCTTTTAGTACTCGTGCGATTGTTCTAGTCTTTATGCAGCTCAGTTGGTATGACGGCCAGAAATATCCGTCGCACACAATCTCAACTGATTCACAAGTAAACTGATAAAAGGAAACCACGAGTTCCAATCAGCACTCTTTGTATACGTCTATTTCTGTCAAACTATCCAATAATGGAAGTGACAGTCCTTTATCACAGCAATTAGCCGCTATGATTTCCTCCTTTTGTTTCATCTGTGAGCTTTTTATTGTTGCAGAAAGGTTCCAGTTCAGTCAGACCTGCCCAGCATCACACGCTAATTGACGATGATACCAAACAGCACAACAGAGACGGAGTTCAAATGTCACGGCTGATTTAAGAGTCATTCCCGGTTTGTTTTGGCAATTAGCTTTTTGCTCCATCCCCTCAATCTGAGCGTTAATAAGAGTGGATCAGAATCCAATCAGAGCTGATTGCTGCGGCGCTGTATCACAGCGGCTCTCTCTATTCTGACACTTACTTTGATTCCCTCTCAGCTCAACTTAACTGTCCAAGTAGAGCGGACAGGGCCCCGCCGATAATGAGCTGCAATCAGTGAGCGGCCGGCTGTTTAAAAGAGAAAGTTAGGGATGGAGCTGCAACTAAAAGCTCCTTCTCAGCATTATTTTCACCCACCAACCCCCAATGCTCAGGGGACAGAAACCTGCAGCAGACAGCCGCTGACGAAGGCCTCGTCCAGGGAGCGTCCAGCTGTGTTACAACAAGCCACACACAGCTTCTGTCAGGCAGCATCGGCCAATCAGGATGTATGGTAATGAGTGTGGGAAGGGAGAGCGGTTCAGGTTCAGACGTGGAAGCAATTAGATTAGAAAACAGAGCTTGTTATTGGGAACGAGAGGAGGACGGACGGGAACGATGGAGGAAGAACCGCCCAAGAGGTCAAAACAGAGAGGAAGAGAGGGAAAGTCGGAGGCCACGATCGAGATGGGGCTCAGGCCCGGATGCACGATGGCTCGGATCCCGGCGGTTCGCTGTATGTGGCAACATTTACTGCAGGCCAAACAGCTGGGGCGCGTGGGAGAGCGCCAAGACAAAGAGCTGGATGCAGAACGAGGAGCGTGGAGAGAGGAGAGGAGGGAGCGAGAGGAGGTCTGGTTGTCTGTACAAGCTGTCACAAGACGTGGGAAATGCCGCTATGGCTAATTAGAGTCAATGAGACTGTACAGAACGAAAGGTTCAGATCCATGGGAAAAGTCAATCTGTCCAAGTTCAACTGGAGGTCAGAGAGAGGGCGACTGACGCGAGGCACACCGGCGATGCCAGGAATGTTTATTGTGTGTGTGTGTGTGTGTGTGTGTGTGTGCGTGTGTGTGTGTGCACGTTTGGCTTCAGGTGGAGTAAGACCGTCACATAATAGCAGCGTAGAACACGGCAAGGACTGTAGACACACTTTTAATGTGAATGTGGAACCAGAGTACTGGACTTATACTTAAATATTTGAAATGTTAACACAAAACTATAAATAGATGCACTGTAGTTGTATTACAGTCGTGACTGGATAATCGACCCTTAACAATCCTAAACCTGCTATCCGACAGGTTTTTAGGAAAAACCAACAGAACCCATAAAAACAGCCTTAACATAGCGACAGCCTTGGATTGTGACTCCGACATGACATTTAATGTCACCAATCAGGATGACGGCGTATTATCTGACTGAACAATCCCACAGATTGGCTACGTTCACACTGCAGGACTTGATGCTCAATGAGGATTTCTTTGTGACTTCCTTCACGTTTCCACTTCAATGCGACTTGTATGTGATCTGCTGTGTGAACTTCATACGAGCCAAAAGTGTCCCGCATGCGCAGAAGAGGACACGACGACGTCACACGCAGCGAGCGTGCTCAGTGTTTATGGAAGTAAACATGGATGGTAACGGTGGAGCGTATCTGCCACTCCCCCGCCGCCACCGATGGAGGAAACAGAAGTGTGAGCGCTAACTAAACTAGCATCAGCAGCCAAGTACTGCCTGTGTGTTCTGGACACTTCCACCCCGTCAGAGCGCTGCCCCGGGGTGGAAGTGTCCCCGACCGCTCCGTATATTCTGATATTCATCATGAATTGGACCTGAATATCCAGAGAGCAGAAAGTTCTACTGGGACCAGCCCTACTAGTTATTATAACAACTATGAACAATAATGAACAACTAATAAGCCTTCCAGCATCAAGCCCTCCTCGTATCTGGACCTCCGTCTGGACAATCCCACAGCCTTGATATCCG